TTTTTTAACGTACATTTTTAAATGTTTCATATTAAATTTTAAAAAGCGCTTATTTACTTCTCACGGACTAACGATGGATTAACAAAACTCCCACCCGCCACGAGCATGCGCATTTTGCGCAACTATGGCGCAAACATGCCTCGACTTGAGCATCTAAACAGCTCAACGTGGCCCTGCTTATTTCAGTTTTTAAAAGAGGGGAACCTGTTTGGAAGGATTTTTTTTTTTTGAGCGTCGTTCCAGACCATACTTCATACCAGTTGGTGGCGGTAATGCACCTTTCAGTTGTTTGCCAACCGCCAATACAAATGTAAGAAAGAAGAAGAAGAAGAAGTAAACATGGCCCTGTTCGCATACAGCAGACTGTCACGTTTACTGACAATATCCGTTTATAAATCTTCGGTTTTACGAACGGGGAGCGAAATAAAACATGGAGCTACGTGCTGTGTACAGTTTAAACGCTGCCAGGTAATGTTTTTTTCTGTGTCTCTCTTCGTACGACTTCACTTAATGTAGCTCTCTGTTGGTGATAAGCTAAACGAAAACTCAACAACACGACCGGAAATAACATGTTCAGAATAAAATCGACAATCGTAAAATACACTGAGGGAATTAAACAATCCAGGACACACCTTTATTTTAACGCACACAAGAGTTAAAATGGTTTTACTTGATCAGGTGTTGCTGTTCTCCTTTATGTAGCGTTCTAAACTTTAGTTGTAACACCCACATCTAGAACACGAAAAGATAATTTTGAAACTTCAAACCGGAAGTGGTTATTGATTTCATAAATACTTGACTGTTAATTATAGAACCACAGATATAGATATATATATAACAGCTGTATATGTGTTGGACAGGAATATATACTGTTATTGTAATACTATTAACAACCAATTACATATCGTGAATATGTTTCTAAGAATAGTAGCAAGCATAGTAATCCCACTCTGTGCAGTCTCTATTTAATCCTCATGAATAGGATGGTATAAGGTTTGTTTATCCCAAAAGGTTAAATCTGTTCATCTGGACGTAGCGTTTTCAGTGAGAGAAACGTTTTGTCACTTATTCAAGTGACTTCTTCAGTCTCAGCTGATTACAGGTTCCCCCAACCTTATGCTAGGGTGACCATACTTTGATTTCCAAAAAAGAGGACACTTGGCTCAGTCATGAAGAACTTGCTTAAAGAAATATATAAAATCGGCCCAGGCATTTTGACTAA